GATGGTGAACATGAAATGTATGTGAATATGACAACGGTTAACATGAAATGTATGTGAATATGGCAGTGGTTAACATGAAATGTATGTGAATATGACGATGGTGAACATGAAATGTATGTGAATATGACAATGGTTGACGTGAAATGTATGTGAATATGACAACGGTTAACATGAATTGTATGTGAATATGACGACATTGAACAAGAAATGTATGTGAATATGGCGATGGTGAACATGAAATGTATGTGAATATGACAATGGTTGACATGAAATGTACGTGAATATGTCAACGGTGAACAAGAAATGTATGTGAATATGACAACGGTTGACATGAAATGTACGTGAATATGTCAACGGTTAACATGAAATGTACGTGAACATGACGATGGTGAACATGAATTGTATGTGAATATGACAACGGTTGACATGAAATGTACATGAATATGACAATGGTTAACATGAGATGTATGTGAATATGACAATGGTCAACATGAAATGTATGTGAATATGACAATGGTCAACATGAAATATATGTGTATATGACAATGGTGAATATGAAATGTATGTGAATATGGCAGTGGTTAACATGAAATGTATGTGAACATGATGATGGTGAACATGAATTGTATGTGAATATGACAACAGTTGACATGAAACGTATGTGAATATGACAATGGTTAACATGAAATGTATGTAAATATGACAATGGTTAACATGAAATGTATGTAAATATGACAATGGTTAACATGAAATGTATGTAAATATGACAATGGTTAACAGGAAATGTATGTAAATATGACAATGGTTAACATGAAATGTATGTGAATATGACAATGGTGAACATGAAATGTATGTGAATATGACAATGTTTAACATGAAATGTATGTAAATATGACAATGGTTAACATGAAATGTATGTGAATATGACAACAGTTGACATGAAACGTATGTGAATATGACAATGGTTAACATGAAATGTATGTGAATATGACAATGGTTAACATGAAATGTATGTAAATATGACAATGGTTAACATGAAATGTATGTGAATATGACAATGGTTAACATGAAACGTATGTGAATATGACAATGGTTAACATGAAATGTATGTAAATATGACAATGGTGAACATGAAATGTATGTAAATATGACAACAGTTGACATGAAACGTATTCGAATATGACAATGGCTGATATGAAATGTATGTGAATATGACAATGGTTAACATGAAATGTATGTGAATATGACAATGGTTAACATGAAATGTATGTGAATATGAAATATTCACATTCTTGTCATCCTGTGTCAAGCAGGTTTGAAAACGATAAAACTATCTTGCGTAATGTTCCAATAACGTAAAAGCACCGAATTGTTGTCAAATTGAATAACAACTTTTTTGAACATCCAATTTGATAGAAAGGTGAAACCCTTTATGGGCTTTTTCAAAAGATATTGAAATATGCATATTTTAAGGGGCGGTAGTCATCGCGCAGCGCGTGATTCACGTACGACGATGTTTATACCGCTATGAGTCCCATCGAACAGGACGCGAAGCGACGACCACCGCCCTTTAATAGAAGTCTTGTAACCTTGGACGTGTAAGGTTATTAATCAAACACATGAACCTTTACAACATGAAAGACAATTTCTGCTACACACGATTATCATATTCTCGTCGACATTAACAATTATTCGCATCAAAAATGAAAGTGAATGAAAAATGTTCTGTAAAACATACTTTGTTGCTCAAACTGAATATATAATTTATAATATAGACATTGATAACTCACACTACCAGCATAATTTATTAGTAATCCCAAAATACTCCCTCATAGATAGTTATCAATAAACGGGTGATTGAACGTTTATTAGTTATATTAATACATCAGTAGGTTAGAACGTCGACATACATTAACACGCAACGATGCATTGTAGGGAAGCTGGATATTGTAATATGAGTGTATCATTACTCTGTCCCGTAAGGATGCGTATACGGCAAGTTACATGTTTATTTCCAAATAAAACAGCTTTATTTAAATATACGCAATTACAAAGTCAATTCATCTCAGTCCCAGTGTTTTAATCAATGGATCACACAATTATAACACATTAGTCTTTGATTGATGCGATATACAAATGTACCCACTAATTTGAGGTACGAATAAGTCGGCAGTTTGCCATCGATTTTCATCGTTTTATTCTGTACGAAATGTGTGATTTCCCAACATAGAATTTCAGATCCCATTGCACGGAGCTAAAAAAGTTACGGTATCGCTTGTTTGTGTCTAGTTTTCAATAAACTCTCGTACTAGGTAATTCGTATCATCATAAAAATATTACTAATTACAAAAATGCATGCTACATTTAATTTGAATATTTACAACGTTGAAATTCGATGTCAATTTCGGCACTCAATTGGTTCAAATATAGAAATAGTCTACAGACGAGCGAGGAGCATGAAAAGTTGACAAGCTCCTTTAAACGAACTCACGTACAGCACAAATGACGCGTCTAATGCCAGTGTCGACCAGTTAACATTCAAAACATGATTGCAGTTGGTACAGTGCAGCTCGTGTTATTATAATATTTTTTAGCAATCTTTTTGCCCATCATATTCATGAAGGTTCTGTCAATGCCTGGACATATTCAGGGTTCTCCCCAGAAAAAATGCATAGCGCCGGGGCTAATTTGCATAATAATTTGCATATCATTTACATATCTTTTCTTCATTGATTAACAGAACTTATTTACAATTATGAATATTAGTGAGCTCAGTCACAGGGCAAATATTTTTTTTAATGGAATCAACACATTATGTTTCACAATTTAGAAGAGTTTGAAACATTCTCGAAATACAAATGCTGCAGACTAAAAACAAACACAAATACATTATTGTTGCAATTTAATTGTTTTGTAAAACGTTGAAGGAAACGCATTCAAAACGTTAAGCCAGATTTATGTCACGAATCTCATAATTGTATTCACTCCAAAAACATCTCGTCAAAAAATCAATCACGTAATTGACGTATTGTGTAATTTATTATTCGTACCATCAACTTCTAAAACGTTTACAATTACAGTAATGAGCGAACAAATAAAGCTTCAAAACGATCATCAAAGTTACGACGTGACATAACTTACTTGGCCCATGTTATACACAGTTATAGCAATAATTCCTCAACAAATGTTACTTCTTTTTTTTTTTTGATATGAAATGTAAGTAAAATCCGACTTATTTTTATCGGGAGCGATTATTTTTGATCACTTGATCGCTTCGGTAAAAAAAAACAGACCCGCCATGATGTTTGTGAAACATTAGCATGTGTCCTTTGACCCGATGGGTCAAGAATTCCATTAACCAATCAAAATGCCGCATGGTAAGGCTGGTAGAACCCGAAGTTTTCCGAATGGTAGTGATCATCAAAATTACATTGCGGAAGTAAAGCGATGTCGTAGCACAATGTGTTGGCATCGATTTCAATTGAAAACTGCATGACAGCTTTCGAAAGAGGTTATTTGCAATTTTTAAAAGGTAAATTAGGTCTTGAAAGAAGAGTTTTTACATGATTCGAAATGATAACAGTTCAAATGTATTTTACCAAATCACGCAATAAACACGTTGTTTTTTTCTTGAGTAGCGTGAACTGATCGTGAACTCCGATTTGACCATGTTATATCGAGGTGGAATTGATTTTGAAATAATTTTAGCTTTCAATCTAAAGACTGTGTCTATCGCAGAAAGTATTTACTTACAAACAAAGAGGTGCTAATTCCACAAATTTTACTAGCCGCTACATATCGTGCGACTAGGTCTATTGTTTATAAATTATAATCCACGACTGGCAGGATGCGTGTCGGTCGGTACGTAATTACTGTAAAGGGGGTAATTATTCACTGGGTTTTAATTCAGCTTATTTTGCTGACTGGAAAATGCGCTAAATTAAAACCCAGTGATTATGTAAAATTTAGCATAGAACACATTATCTAAATGACAAAACCGTGAATTTAAAACCCACTGAATATGCCTGAAATGGTAAATCAGTGAAATTTAAACCCAGTGAAAATTAGTCATTTTACAGTATACCAACAATCAGACAATTGTCCTCGTCGGAAGCATTTCCGTGTTGGACACTAATTTTGAGTGACGGTCGGGGCTGACCGGCGTGGCGAACAAAGCTTTTTCACATCTGATATTGGCATGTCAAACATGAAATCAAGCGCCGAGGTGGGAACACATAGCGCCGAGGTCCCAAGTGAAGCGCCGAGATTCACAGGTATAGTGCCGCGGACCTCGGCGCTAAAAAGCCCTGGGGAGAACCCTGCATATTTTGCCGATTAACCCACATTGCTATTGTTAAATAGATAAAACAATGCAAGTTTACACAAGAGATATATTATGACCGTATCATCCAGTTGAATGTCTGCACCTCTTCTAGATGTTTGTCTTAAAAAGGGCGTGGCCTAGAACTTGTAGCTCCTAAATGCCCGCATACGTAAATATAACCGATGTGCCGTGATCGACAGCATTATATAAATTATAAATATCATGTCATGTGGCAACGCGCTTCATTACAATCGTTATTCATTGAATGTCGTCATGGTAACTATGACTTTCTGTCACCACTGAATATACGGCAATATGTCTAAAGACGGTAGAACGATATGCAAAAAATACTTACTGGAAGATAATTTGTGTGAGTTGTATCAGCCTGTAGATCACCCTCTCTTATAGTGACCGTGATGTCAGGAAATCTCTGCGACATACGGACGGTTCGGTTACTTCTGAAATATCCTTTGAATAAATCAGACAACAGGAAGCATGTCAGAAGATGTTGTTGGAGGACAGCCGATATACCTAGTGCATATTCGTTGTTACAGTTTACAATAATGACCATAATTTAGAAATCGAATTAGGTAAAGAACTGAAGAAAACCACCCATAGATCAGAAAAATAATTTGATATCAAAACAATAGATACATAATATATATTATTTTGCATAATGTATTATTTTTGTTTTTTTCAGTGAAATGTGTTTTATGTTTTGTCTTTACAATACATTGCCCCCAGATGGCACTTATTGAGTAAAAGTTATTATAAGCAGGACAGGGGTGACAAATACCGCCACATTATTACTAATGGATCCGTTACATGTATGCCTAAATACTTTCCATGACTGATACGAAAATATAGAATCAATGGTAAATATGGCAGCACAGCATTATACAATACTCCCACATGTCACATAATTAGATCGTGCATTGATGCATTATTTAATTATACCTCACAAATGAAAAAAAAAACAATCAAAGAAAGCTGAGAAAGAACTCCCATGTGCTGAGAGTATTGGAGACACATTAAATATAATTCGAAATTACTTAGCTGAAAACTAATTATGCAAATCAGAAAATTAATATGAACAGATTTGAGTGTAAAACTAATGAGGTCTGCGCAATGTAACAGAAAATCTATGTTTCCAAGTTTAATTGAAATGTGATTAGAACCAAAAAATTATGAATTATTATGCTTATTAGGGAATTAATATGAACAGATTTTTACCCC